GCCTCATGTTCTTTGGTGACTACAATTCTCATGCAGTACCTTATTTTGTCTCCTCTAGCTTTCTTCCCTTAGATCTACTGTACTTTAAATCCGTTGCTATTCTAATGCATGATATATCTAACAGCTTAACACCTACTAACATATCTAACTTATTTGCTTCCCAATCTAATATTCATTCATATAATACAAGATCATCTTCAAGAGGTGACTATTATGTTAAACACTCAAGGTTAGACAAACAAGCTACGTCTTTGTCAAGATATGGTGTAAAAATCTGGAATAGTTTACCGTGTGAAATGCGTCAAATGTCCAAAAATAACTTTAAAATCAATGTCCACGACACTTTACTCCGAATACTTTCAGAAGAAAATGATTATATTGATTTACCCGACTTAATAACAAAAATGTCCTGAAAACTCGGCTTCTTACAGGCCCGTAACCAGGGGGGGTGCACGGGGTGCGTTCACACCTCCCCACAGGCCCCAAAGGTCCGCATTTTGATACTCAATATCCAAGTTAAGGCGTGCAGTCGGTTAAACTTAAGTTTCAAACTTAACAGTGCAGTGATATTTAAACAAAATCAAAGAATGGAAAAAGCAGTGGTGTATTCACTGGGAAAATAAAACCAGCTACACTCTAGTAGCCCGAGCCATTCAGAGCATTTCAATGAGCGCACAGATGTCCGAGCTTATGTAAATGAATAATGAAATTAACGTGCGCAGGCCCCGGGGCGCAGGCTTTGTACGGGAGTTTACGCGAGCGAGACAATGACAAGGGAGCGATCTCAGGATTTTTGTCAGACACGTCCGCTAACGCGTCGGGTAGTATTCTCTATTTGTACGAGCGCATGAACGCCTGAAGATGCAAAATTAGTTTTTTGTGTAATACGTTATCGGTAGGAGAGAACAGGAAAATAGAAAGAGGAAGGCTGCAGCTAAATCTTGCCAGTCTCTCGATACAACACAGGAAAAAATAACGGATTCCCATTTTTGGATATTTTAGGGTATTTAAAGAATACCCACAAAAATCCCAAATTTGGAAGAGTGAGACAAGTCCCAATCTGGGAACTTAGTTGGGAATTCCCCGGTTGGGACTTGTTTCACTTTGCCAAATTTGGGATTTATATGGGTATTCTTTAAATACCCTAAAATATCCAAAAATGGGAATACGTTATTTTTTCCTGTGCAATGGGTCAGTAAAGTACCCCGTCAAGAGCTATCAGACGCTGACAATGACAGTGCAGTCTGCGACGACAGCCCAGCTGAAACCACGACTTCAGATCTATCTCAGTTAACTACAGTTTTACAGCGAGATATAAACGGTAAATCATACTCATTTTCGCAATGTCCACCAGTCTTGATCCCATTATTACGCTCTGAGATTTAGTCGCTACACCCACGGAGGCTGGAGCTCGGAACTGTTCTGACGGATTAGTTCCGCAGTATTTTGATGTATCATTTTACATCGTAAAATTACTCCTTTATAACTAAATTCAAACAGTTGTATTCGAAAAATGTAATATTCAGTTCCTACCGTGTTCTTTGCCGTTACAATTTCTCATGTATTGCTACTTTCCTAAATAAACGGATCAGACGATAAAAAATACATTTCCGTAGTTGGGTCCGCTTTGGCCTCGTTAGCACCCCCCCACAAAAAATCCTGGTTACGGGCCTGTCTTATATTTGCAATGTCCGTGATTGTAAACTTAATTAAATTGACTTTATTTTTATTTATTTGTTTATTAATTTAACTACTCTTTTTCTCTAGTCTTTCTTGTGATCTATCTGTATATGTATTACATACGTGTAACCACTGCTCGCCTCGACTAGCTAACCTGCTAACTGCGGGCAGTGGATATTGCTTTCTGTAAAATTTGTGATAATTAATAAACAGTTGAAACAGTTGAAACTTCGCTGTTCGTAAGTTTGTTTGTTAACCCGGAGCCACAACAAATATTTATGGGCGAAAATACAGAATACAGGGCCAATTTAATAAAAGCCAGGGTACATTTTCAAGTCACTTTGCTTCACATATACTGGGTCTGTCAGTAAAAGCTATTTTTAATATCAGAGCGCTGGGAGGGTTTATACTGAACCTTCAAAACCTTCACTGGAATATCATTGGAGTGATAAACAAAGAGGCTGGCATTTGCTAATAAGAGTGAGTACATCAGAGAGGTGTGTGCATTGAGAAAATCCCTCAAAGGACTGAAGTACAAGAAATAGAAAAAAGAAAATTGAATGTTTTGCAAAGTTTATAAAGAGAATCAGAAGACGCTTGAAAAATATACAATTTCAATATTATTGTTTGTGTAAGTTATGAGTTTGATTTACAACAAAAACAAACCAGGTAAAATTGATTTTTTATCAACCATCAAAAGAAGTTATTGTCCTTTAAGCCCAATCCCCTCATGAGTTCTTTCTACGATACTACCCTTAGCTTATCCGGCCTGGATGGGTATGTGCTGCTGATTTAGGGTGGTGACCATTTCACCCTTTAGATTTTTGAATAGGGTGTCTGTTTGGGCTGTGAAGGTTGATGAAGAGCAGTCTATAGTTACATTTTTGGTACCACCATTTTTTGCCCAAGTTTTTTTCCAGGTTTCTAAGTTTAAAAGCTAACTTTATTCTGTATGCTAAATGAAATGAATCAGAATTATAAAATAGGGTCTCTTGGCTTAAAAAAGGGTAGGGATATAAACAATGTGTCCTACTACCCATACTCTCTTTCAGTGTAAGCCCATTTTAATACCCTTTTACCACTTGTTGTAACAGCAAAGTCAGTGAACGTTTATGGTCTCTGAAAAAGGTTTTTGCCTGCCTCAACACAAGTTTATTCAGTTGACTACAAATAAATATATTATCTTAATAATATGATTTTACATTTTTTTTTCCAAGGCATCCTATGGTGTTTTTCATACCTCGACAAACTTATTAAGGCTAATCTTTCACCGCTCTTCTGTTTAAACTGCTGAATAGCCGTCCCTGATTTTATATGGCGACGCGTGGCTCTAGACTGTTGTAATTTTTAAAATAATCGGACAAAATTGCATCGCCTGTAAACTGAAATATCCAGTGTGTACATCGATTGCACGTAAAACTATATATGGGAGTAGTCTGCCAGTTTTAAGACAATAAAAGCGGGCAAAAAATAAGGGTTTGCTCACTTTCGTTCCAGAGGTGAGTTCCTGTTGTTGATCTTCGTCCTTCCTCGACTTCCTCGCACCCACGGGGCAAAGCAATCATGAATTTACCAAATTAGAAGGAAAGTCTTGGATTGACACCTTCATTTTCCTCACTTAATACTCAGAGAACTCAACTAGTACTGACTTTCGACTCGAGCAACCTCACAAAATCTTTAGCAGAAGCCAAAACTTCTCAGGCCACTCTCAGGAGAAGAACCTACGGTAAACTTCCGGGCCTTATACCGTATTTTTGAAAGGCCCTTTTTGAGGGGCTTATTTTTGGAGGGGCTTACCGTATTTATTAGATTGACCGCACTGGGCGCTTATTAAATTTTTGGACCTTGACGTGACAGTGGGCGGCACAGTGGGCGCTCATTCGAGGTGGGCGCTTCTTCGAGGCTAGGCGCTTCTTTAAAAATTTTCACTATTCTCAGCAAGTGTAGTAGTATATTTTGCAACAAAACAGTAAATGGTAATAACAAAAAGCGAAGATGTAACAAAGCAAGGTTTCTGCAAAATACTCTGAAGAAAACTTAGCCTGCGAAGACATCCTCGCGAAACGTCCCCAGCGGCGAAGAGCGAGGAGAAACGGATGTTTTCGCAGGCTAAAGAAAACTCCGTCTTCTGGAGGGTCTCTTATTTATCTCTTATTGGAGTTTCTGTGGGTGGGAGTGGGGTGGGGTAAGCGCTTATTCGAGGCTGTGCGCTTATTAACTTTTTCTGCCTTTAGGATGGGGGTTTATTCGAGGTGGGCGCTAATTCGAGGTTGGGCGTTTATTCGAATAAATACGGTATCTACGGAGGGAAATTTGCGTTTCAAAGTCGATTGAGCTAGCCTTATAGTTCCGTGGAATGCCTATGACACACAACGGTGGTTTGGTTTGTTTTTATTGCACCAAAAATTGCAAGGCCAGCCAGTAGGATTGCGTAAAATGTTTATCGATTCTTTTTCCTAGCCAACCAATGGGACTGTAAAAAATCTTTATCGATTTTTAATCGATTTGCTTCCTCTGAAGATCCTTGCCAAATTTGTCGCTCGTCAGTTTTCCCACTCGGGATTTAGGATGGCTTGATAACCTGCGAAATCATTCTGGATACTGGCAAGTCGTCAGGGGAGGCGACCTAGGCCAAATTATTTCTTTTTATTTAGGGTTTTTTCCCTTCATGATTCGTTTTTGTTTATTAGGTCTAGCTTTTTCTTAAGGTTTTAGCGTCTGGTTAGGGGGACGTGATATCTTTTTCTAGTCTTAGTTCGCCAATTTACAGAAAGGTACGTTTATTGAGTGTTCGGCAAAGCCGCAATATTGATCACTAGTTATGCCTCCTCGGCGCCCCCCTTCCCCCTATTTTACAGCTTCAGGACTCACCGCGCAGGATATCTTTGAGCAGGCTGTCCAACGTACCGGTTAGCCTCGCAAGAAAGAGGAATTTATGGTCCCCTGCCTTGCATGGATGTACTGAAATAATTGCTGGTTGAAGTGAGCGCAGGAGAAAAATGAGAGTTTTCAGTTAGAATTTCCTTCACTTAAGTATCGTAACAGCTAACGACTTGCCTCATATAAAGGAATCCGGGAAATATTTGCTCGCACAATCCGGAATCCTCAGCTTTGGAATCAGAATACAGCTCAAGGAATCCAGAATCACACCAAAAATTGGAATCAACAACAATAACAATCAAGTTTTATTTACGGTGTCACTTCATCACTGAAATGCTCTTCCAGTGAACTGTGTACATAAGTTCCAGGGACAAACAAACCGGAATCCAGTACCCAGAATCCGGAATCCACTACGTCGAATCCAGAATCCAAGAGTGTCTTAAATTCCATTACATGGGGCGAAACGACTACCAATGTTTTATTCAACCTAATTAAATTTCACTCTCTCATACCATCATTTAATCAGAATCGCGACCTAGAGGAACATTTTCCCACAGTGGTCCCAATAACAATAGGGAGCTGCAGTTATTTCAGCTGTGCGCGATGTTTTTACGTACATTTCCGTTTTCAAAACACAACGAACCTTTAGTTTTAATTCCAAGCATCTTAGTGGAAGCGACAAGGATACTGGTTTTCTTAGATAGCAAGTACATGTATAGTCTAGTTAATTATGTTTGAAAATGTTAATCTTAACTGTCAACTTTCGTAGGCCCGCATTGGGGACTAACTTTAAAACGCCGTAGGTCGACGCTTTTCATCAAGATGAACAATTTTACACTATTTTTGTCATAGAAACCTTTGTTTACAATCTTAAAAAGCTTAAGAACATCTTAATAACACAGCTCAGGCTGGAAGTTTAGCCAATACTGCGTTGTATTCAATGTGCTTCAAGTGGGAAATCTAGAAGAATTACTGGTGATTGGAAAACAAGAGTTAATGAGAGGCTAAACATTGAAGCATGCACTGTTGTCGCTGAAGCTTCCTTGGCTTCCTCTTAGGGTATGAGGTAAAAGTTGTACAGGCTTGCTAAATCCTAATTTTACACGTGTAATTTATGAACATTATAATTACCTTTTTGAGGCTAACATCTTCTCAAAATAAGGACGTTAATTCTATCCTCAGCTCAAAGTGTTATAGCCAAAATTGTTTTAAACTGCTTCTCTAGCGCATGGAAACTACACTATTTTTTCGGTCTGGGGAGCTGCTATCATCCACCCTAAGCACCCTATGATGAAACTGGTACAAAAGTTTATTGTGCTAACTTATTTTGCCTCATTTTTCCCATAGAAATTAGGCTGCAAAACAGTCCGTATTTAGGGCGTGTGAGGCTCGCGCGCTTCGCGCGCCTAAGACTCTTACGGCACGCTTTACTTATTTCTTTACTGATTTTGAGAAAAAACCGACTGTTTTGCAGTCTACATAGAAATTAAATAGACCTCATTTCACTAGTGTTCTACCTAACTTTGATAGCTAAACGATCGGCTACACTATCTTGTGCTCTTTAACCGAGCGCAAAACGGAAGGCATAGCGCGAGAGACGAGCGCCGAGCTGGGCAAGCTATGGTTACAAAATTACGCATGAAAAGACACTATTATCGTCGAGCGCCAGCGCGCAACAATCAAATGTCAATCAAGCAGCTTATGCCAGCGCGCTATTGGCTTATTGTTGATTCGCATCTCGTTCCAATGTTCAAATTGGTTCCCAGTGGCCGTTGGCCCTAGAAATATCCTCCCGAGTAACTGGTCCTCAGTCCTCTGAGCATTTTCGTTTTTCACGGCCACTAAAAGACTTGTTTGATGGAGAATTCCTACTGGTATGTGAAAAGTCAGGGTTTCGTTAAAGACTGGGTTGCCACTTGGGTCTTTTGTAAGAGTTTTCTTCTGCTTTAGTACTCTACTTTCATGAATGAGGGACACTTCAACGTATGCAGCTAGGAAAGAAATTATACAGGGCCAGTTAGCGTTAAAAATAATAATGATTCTTGCAATATTTTTAATCAAACAAGGCAAATTAAGGTGAAGAATGAGAGTTTCAAATTGTTTCAAAAAACGTAAGAAAATAAATATTATTATCATTCGAAGCAAATTTTTCTTTCTTTTCATTGGCCGAAAGTCCACCACGTGACCTGCAAATAACTGCCTACAAATAATGGTCTGCTCATGTGCAATGTCGTCCAACAGTGTTTGGCTGCAAATAACATTCTGCTCATGCGTAAAGGAAACCGTGCTTTTCTCCTTCTTGCGATCACTCTTGCGTGATCACTCGGTGATCTTATGATAAAACAACTATTGAACTCGATTATCGTAAAATATCGTGATTTGTCAGTGTCTCGCAGATCAATTATTTGCCGAAGCCGAAGGCTGAGGCAAATAATTGATCTGCTTGCTACAGACAAATCACGACATTTTGCGCAACCTCCTCCAAAAATTGTTAATTATCATTCGAGGCAAAATTTTCTTCCTTTTCATTGGCCGAAAGCCCATTACGTGACCTGCAAATAACTGCCTACAAATAATGGTCTGCTCATGCCCAATGTCGTCCAACTGTGTTTGGCTAAGTGTTTGGCTGCAAATAATATTCTGCTCATGCGTAAATGAAACCACGCTTTTCTCCCTCTTGCGATCGCTGTTGTGTAAACATGGCAGATCGCTTCGTTTCCCGAAGAGATTAAAAAATAAACTCGGTGATCGAATGATAAAACAATTATTGAACTCAGTTATCTCAACCTCGTCCAATAATTGTTAATTATCTTCTAACTGTCTGGCCGTAACCTTGCTTTATTCTTTTCTTGCAAGTTCTTTGTCAAGCAGACATTTGCTAACCAGACTTGACTGTTGGTTCTTTCTACAGCAATAAAATCATTCACTTGCCTGGATCCAGTTCTGCTTCTTCAGCTTGCGGAAGATTTCTTGCCCTTATTATTACTATTGTTAGTCGCTCTGTAAGTCTGAGATATCCCAGGGAGATCATGAGTTCTCCGAGAACACCCGAAGCCTGAAAAATAAACAATTAAAAGACACCTCAAAATAGATTTCCTGGGGAAATTTGCGGCTCAGAGTTATACCAAGACACTCCAGGCCCTATCGAGTTATTTGATTAATTTCATTCTAAAAAAAACATTGTCTTATAAAACGGTACCACATTATTACACATGAACACATTTGTGTGAGAATGTAATGATCAGTGATGTCTTTTCTTTTTAGAAGTGTAGGGGCACTAATATCCTTATATTTGGGGTTAATATCTCTTTATATGCAGCTCCCTCATTTCCAACTTTTGAAGGGGACGCTGGGTGATCTCAGAAACAAACATGGGACGAAAAGTAAATGCACGACAGCCCGGTGGGGGGGTACTCAACAAAGTTTTGTTTTTATTTAGTAAATTTATTTAATCGAATCTTAGATACTGGCAAATACCCTGCTCTTTGGAGTTTTGGCCTCATTGTACCTATTCACAAAAAGGATGATCGATCCAAAGTCGCAAATTACCGAGGTATCACTTTGCTCTCTGCGCTAGGCAAGCTCTTTACATCAATCATCCTCTATAAGGCGGGAGGCTCCGCCCCGAGGTAAAACCCCTTACCCCTTTGTAAACCACTTTTTGCATTAAGGGTACCCCTTTCACATACCTAGTTTTAATTAGAAGTTTGTATCCCTTTCAACTATTGTAAATGTACTGACTTTGAAATATGAACTTAAATCGCAAAACGAGAAAGTTTTCTCGCCTTTTTCACCGCCATAAAATGCGTCTGTTAGCCCTCTTGGGCCTGTTTTACAGATCACAATGGCAGATGATTTCCTTAACGTTTCTAGCCTGTTCACAGACCCTCTATTTTCTCTTCAAAGTCCGTCGAGCGCGCGTGATAAAAACTAAAAAGCCTGAAAGATTTAATGACCGCCAGCGCAAGGGATGAGTAGGCATGGGGAAGAAGAAAATAGGCGTTTCTTTCTCGCGCGTCCCTCTCGCTCTCGCGCTCTCGCTGATGTTTTCGAAAAGAACGAAAAGAAAAATAGAACAACGTCTGTGTACAGGCTATAACGTTTCATATACCCCTCTACATTCAAAAGCTGACCCATTCAAAAGTTAACTGGCCGGCACAAAGGTGATACACACGTTTGACTGTACATGTAGGACGATAAAATTCCTTATAAAAAAAACCCCGCATTTTCCATAATACCTTTGGAACCGCGTGAATGTCACGGAACAGCAGAATCTCTCTTGACAGACTAAGCCCGCGTGCCTCAAGCTCAGCAAGATGCACGGTGTGGTCGCCAAGGGGTTCGTGTTGTGAGAACCGATCAAAACAACATAACGTCATCTTCAAGCTCTGAACCTGCAACTTCTCGTACGCCACCCGGAACTCAAACTTCTCCTTAAATTCAGGGCTCTTGCACTGTCTGACGGCTTTTGTCTGGAATGAGCGGTGATTAAGGGGCAGAATTTTGATTGTAACGTAGTAGTTTATATCACCGTTTTCGTTGGAAAGAAGTTCGTGTAACTGAACCTTGTGAATGATCACCATTAGTGTTGACCTGCGCACAAATACAGAGACCGATATAAATGCTAAGTCGCTCGAGGATATTGCTGTTTTAGGTTAATTTTGTGCTGATGTCGTTACTTAGTACCCTTAACTAAACACGAACCCTCCAGTAGAGATACAGCTCTTTCAAGAAAGGTTGTCGGAAAAAGTGCACGCGACAATCCCGAAAGGTATTGTGGGTAGTTTTAAGTTCACTGTTGTTCAAAGAAATTTGAAAGAATGGTACGAGAAACGACGGACAAATGTTTGCAAGTGCCAAAGGAAAGCAATAAAAGTAGGTTCGACAGCTACGGTGTCAGGAACAGTGTATTGATAATATCCAATATTACAATTCGGTATTGTCGCGTGCACATTTTTCCGACAACCTTTCTCGAAATAGCTGTATAAAGAAGATACCAAACAAATTTCATCAGAAGAGCACTAACCATAATGAATTTTTCTAGTGATTTTTGTAGGCAAAGTATTGAAACTTGAAAAAGTTACGTTGACCCAACTTTTTCAAGTTTAATCCATGTGCATCCGTGCCATCCATTGCAATAGGTGACACAAAACAGTTAAGGTACCTAAATAGAGTCTTAAATAACAAAACTTGACCATTATTTTTGAAACTCACAGAACTCAATGGATGCGAGAAAAGTTTTAGCTTTTTAAAAAGATAGCGAAATGTATGACATAGCTCCTTTAAAAAGCATCATCATGAAATTGGTTTCGACAGAAAGACTCTCGATCCGGGGATTTTATTCCCCTGTTTTCACTTCTCTCAATAAAAAATTATTAAGAAATATTTAGAAGCTATTATTTATACTGAGGTCCATGAATTTTGCGATTCAAAGGGACTAAAAATCACATTGCTTGCCGTTGAGGATGTGGGGGCCCAAAAGTACCGGCAGAGAAAAAAAAATTAGACTACCTCGTTCTTGGATGTTCCCCTTCTCCCTTACCCTCACATCTTGATTCGAGGCTCACAAGCTACCGAACTTGACAATTACAGACAAAAAGAAAACCCGGGTTTTTTGTTTTAGCATTTGGTCAGGAACTTCTGCTTAACAAAGTCTTAATTCGACTTTAAGGAATTAGGAAACAACAAATAATCAAGCGTAAACATTTTTAACAGAACTTTCTCGCCCAGCAAACATCGAGTTGTTGCCTTTTTCTTCAGGACTACTGCAAAGGTCTATCATAACAGAAAGTACAGCTACCTCATTGAATCGTATTGTAGAGAGAACTTTATTTTCCCTGCTGATTTGTCAGGTGAGGTGGTGGCAGGTCCTGTTTCTGCTAACTTTTCTTCGCTCTGCAAATAATCTTACACTTGTGTCACATATCACTTTTATATTAATAACGAAGGAAAAAGGAACTTGAGGGCTGCAAAATATAAAAAGCCCCTGTCCCCAATAGGCTTAGACTGCAAAACAGTCGGTTTTTTTCTCAAAATCAGTAAAGAAATCGGTAAAGCGTGGCGTAAGAGTCTTACGCGCGCGAGCCTCACACGCCCGTAGGGCGTGTGAGAGCGTCTCTCCCCATTCTCGCTCTCTGTTTTCAGCCTCATTCCAGACCTTTTGTTTGACTGCTCGCGCGTACTTGAATACGCAAAAATACGGACTGTTTTGCAGTCTACTATACAATAGGCTATTTCCGAGTTTAAAAAACTCTCACTTCATACCCTGCATGAGTATAAAAATTCATGTTCATATTAATGCCTGTTTCGCACTTTGCCTCGCTTTGAAACAGAGGCTTAGGGCAATTCGTAAATGGCCTATTCACCCCGGGGGGGGGGGGGGTACTTTAGGAATTTCTGGGTGGGGATGTGCCGCTGGGACCCTTGAACCCTTAACCTATACCAGAGCTAGTTCAGCTAAATTTTGCTACCCTATACTAGAGTAAACTCCCCAAATCCCCCCCTTCCTAGAGTAGCTGTTTCGCTAGTCTAGATAAAATCTTCAACCAACTGATCATTTTCCTGAAAAATGATACCCTATTCTAGCCCCAAATGTTCTGATTTATATACCCTATCCTAGAGTAAACTGCTTGAAAACCATACCCTCACAGCCCGGGCTATTCGCCTAACACATTTTGTTTTTTTAAAAAAAATGAAGTTTACGCCGCCGTCGCCATCGTGATTCCTTGAGCTCGCTACTGAGAGAGAGCGGAGGTGGAATTCCCCCCCCCCCCCAAAAAAGGACTTTATTAAAAAGTGTTGCCTGCTGATTTGCCAATAAACAAAATTAAATACCCTTTGTAGTTCCTCATATGTTCTAGGCTGTACTGGAATGCATTTGGTAGACGCGAATTTCCTTGGATACCACACGGTGAGGTGATCAAGAAAGGATGTTGCCGCCGGCTCATCGTACTCCTTCTTAGTCTTCTGTCGGGCCTTTCTCAGAACGAACTTCATTACAAGGATGATGTACAAGATGATTATAACTGATAGAACGAGGCTGACAATTAAAACAAGCTCTCTGTCGACGATCATGGTCAAGTGATCCGCAGTCCTAAAAAACAAAGGATTCAACTTTCTTTGCAATAGTAATGTAAATCCTTTACCAAGCCCCCCTCTCAAATAAGCCCTCCCCCTCTAATAAGCCCCTCTCCCTCCCCCTTATTATTATTATCATGATCATCATTATTATTATTCACTAATCAATGATAGTCTGTTTTAATCGATCACGACTGTAGAACGTCGTGTGGACTGATCCCGGATGGTTTATTTACCAGCTGGAAGTTCGGCATTGTTTTTGATCCTGGGCTGCATGACCTCCAACTTCTTGTATTGGATCTTTTCCACTTTGCATTCTAGTTCCTTACGTAGAACTGAAGCCATCGTCTTTGCTAAATTAAATAACCTCCCTCCTTTCAAATAAGCCCCGAGTCTCTAATAAGCCGCGCCCCCCTCAAATGTGTTTGAAAAAATAACCTCCCGGGGGGTAATAGAGGATTTACGGTAATTTGCCAGTTCTCACGGAAGCGGGTATTGATGAAGTAGCTACGTCTCAAAAACGTGAAAACGTATTCAGTCAAACCTTCCGTAAGCAACCTCCCAAAATGCGAAGAGTTAGTGGTCAGCTTACGGAGGTGTGGTCGCTTAGTAGACTCGAACCACAATGAGGAAGAGGACTAAGCGAATCTAAATTTTGCAAGAAAACTCACTTCATGCAGTTTCTAAATAACGATATGTGTAGTCTCATGTTGTCACTTAAAGTACATCTCATTCTCCTATTAGTGTAGTACATACAACTTAAGTGGTCGGTTATAGGAGAATAAAAACAACGGAAAATTCTAACGCCGTCATCCCCAAATTAAGTGCATGGTCGCGGTCGCTTACGAGAGGTGGTCCTTCACAAAAGGTTACAACTGTATTGATTTCGCTGGGAAAATTTTGGCGTTTTGGATAGGTAGTCGCTTACGAGAGGTGGTCTCACATGGAGGTTCGACAGTATTTAAGATTTTTTTTTCTCCGAGATGAGTTCGTCGAAGAGGGATGCGCCAATTTGGAGAAAGAGTCTCCATGAAATTATCCGATAGCCATCAAAACGGCCACTGAAAAATTTTAACCGTCAATCGTAAAAGCTGAAGTCAACTCTTAAAGTATTAATGGTCATCTGAAAAAACTTTGCGCACTCTAACTTTCCTTCTAGGGCTTATATTTGTCTCATAATAGGACCTTGAATTTATATTTCATATCAATAAAAATATTTCTTTTTTATCAAATAACTTTTTTAACCGGAAAGGAAATAAACTAGTAGTTAGCCGTAATATATAGGCTTCACCAGGGCTAAAAGCGACGTTCTCTTTAATGTACTTACATTTTACACAAACAAAAATAAAATTATGTAATTCTAAATGGCAAAAAGGCAACTAGATAGGCAAAAAAGGGGACAAAACAATAGGTCTAATGAGCAAAAAACAACTTTGCACGTGCAGCACACCTTTTTTGTACATTTCTTTCCCGTTGTTTTGCACGACTACAACGTGAAACTTCCCAATTACACGTTTTACGGAGGAAATGTCGTATGTGTTCCACGTTTGTAGAAATTTAGTCGGAAAAAAGACTCGACTTTGACAGCTGTCAATTCATCTTCATATGGATGGCATATTTAACTGACAAGCTATTGTCATTTTTCATGTTCAAAGGCTCCTTCCATTTGGTACAGTGCTTGTAGTAAATGTGACATTTAACATTGGTTACATGTAGGGGGTGGACGGACGTACTAACGATCACGTGATCACCAAAATTTCAATCATGTATAGGTTACCATTTTTTCCCATGATGCTCCGCTGCGCGCTCTTCGCGTGCGCGTAAGCTCCGCTATAAAAGGCAAACTATCGTTAACCGATAGCGACTACCTATAGCTATCCAATAGACTAAAATCTTCTTTCAAAGCCTTATGTAGTTCTAACATCTCGAAAAAAATGATCACCACTGTGACCAGGCTCTTGTAAGCGATCGTGACGACATTTTTAGGAGAAGTTAATTCATAATTTCCCATTGTTTTTAACCTCCTACACGGCGATCATTTGACACATAGTCAGATCTCTATGTTCATTTTTTGATACTACTCTACTCCAAGTATACGAAAAACTTTTAATTAGACAACATAGAACTACACTCTACTAATATTTACCCAGCATTAGAATAATTGTGTTGCGTTGCCTTATTTTTTAACTGATGAGGCTTTTAACAGAACAAACTGTCACTCGAAATTTGAGAGATTCCCTCCAATATTCATATATTTTGTTTTATTGACGTTTTTAAGTTCTTATACCCTTGATAGAAATTTTAAAAATCGGAGTTCAAAGCGTACTTTAAAAATGCACATAATTATACCGCTGTTGAGACTTCTGCAGTTCCAAAAACAGACAATGAATGTTTGCTGGGGCAGCCAGCATTTCTTGAACAACATCCATAATAGTGTACCAACTTCTTCACAAAACTGTATGTACTTTTGTTGAGTTCAAACATGCTGATACGAACTTTTTGTTGAAATTATAAGATATTTCAGTAATCTCTGATTAATTTTCAATTTTTGCGAAACTTTGCAAATTCCGCACGGTTCATTAGAAAGTCAAAGTTAATGTTAGTCCAATCGTGTTCAATTTAGAGTTTAGAGCTTTTAACAACAAGCTAACAAGGAAACAAAAGACGGTTATACGAGAAAGGAGAAAATACTTTTCCACTAAGTTTCGACTTTTTGCAAAATCAAGGCTAGAAGCGCGCTGCAAAACGAGCCTCACGCATAATTACATTTTGTGCGAGAAATTATTGTAAAGGTATATAGAACTTAAGTCGAATACTCTTCTCTGAATGCAAATTTCGAAAGCCGATATGAAATGAATAGGGAACTTTTTTTTTTATTTTCTACCCGTCAAAGACGTGAATTCTAGAAAATAAAATGTGCTCGTCGAAATCAGTATAAGAAAAATGCATTTCCCGCCAAAATGAAAACGCGGTGTGGTGTGACATCATATTTGATCTAATTATTAGCATACTAATAAGGCAGACGAGACATTCGAAAAGGGTCTCTACTTTATTGATATGTTGTATATGGCGCAAGGATATCTTGAAAATACAATCAAAAGCATTGATTTCATTCATCTAACATATTTCATTTTCTGTTTTCTATTGTAAAATAAGACGTTTTCCATCAACTGCATCTATCCAAGTTAAGACAAAAGAACAAAGGCATTATGTAAACAAATGCGTTAAATTTTTTGGTCATTTTGCAATTTGGCGCCCCATTCGGGCCGACTTTGTAGGATATGAAAAAATCAAAGAAATTACAGCAGACCTTTCTCTGAAAAACTTTATGAAACTATATTTCAAGAGAGAAACTTTTTAACAGCGGTTAAATTCTAACTTGCCAGTCACATGGTGTGCAAATGATTTTTCGAATTCTTATCATACAGTTTTCTGATTTTGCCTCTATATTTCCTTGACAGCAAAAAGGCAAAATTTAAATGAAGTTTAAGATACTTATGAAGTACAAAAAGAAAAATCAACTTTGCTTTTCCATCAACGCGACCGAACTTTTTGCGAGCCAATCCATACAGTACACTAACATGCACTCATGCTTAAGTACAACATCATCCGTTACCGTTAATGTTTGAAAAAACCGTTTTCAGTTAAAAATTGTTAAATAATGATAATAATTCCTGCTTTTAAACCGGAGAGTAACTTACCTTTTGGAATTTTTAGCCTTTGAATCGTGGCTATCAACCAAATTGTCCACAAGTTGCTCCAATCGGGATATAGATGAACTCTGCACAAGTTAACGAAAGTATCTTAGAGAGGTCAGTCGACCAAGACAGATATTTTTGAATCCTTCACCTTCCTCTTGATCAGTATATTGGCTATTCTATTTTCCAAGCTATGACTTTTTCATGGCAAGCTTGCAAGCAAGCCACTTCTTCCTTGCCTGGCTGCCTACATTTTTTTGGTCCATTAGGCTGGCGCGCTCGACATAAAATGATAATTTCAGGAAAAACCGCGCAGTTTTTTATGCTGCCGTTAAGATAATTTCGCTGTATTGTTTACGTTTGTTAAGAATCAATAAAGCGTGACTTTTGAAGCCTTTGTTCTTAACGTATCAACCGTCAAAAACAGCACTTTGGCAAATAAAAGACGTAGTTTTGATTAATTTCTGGAGCCTCGTACGCGTAGAAGAAAGCGTGGCAGTAGCTTACTAGAAAATTGAAAGTTTTTGATCGACTCATTTTTTAGAATAATGTTTCATACTATTCTATGTATTACTTAAACAAGGATTCAAAATCACGCTGAATTCAGGAATATCATAGCAATTTGAGTATTAGGCACATACAAACGTACGTCGTTATGGTTCCTCAAGGAGTATCAAACACCATTACCTTAAGCACATGAGAATTGTTGCATCAACGCAATAACATTATTGCAGCGAATCGGCAAAAACTGCATCAGTCTACGGTGAAACCAAGGGTATTACGAGTCCTTAATACAGCAAACGATGCCCTTCGCCTCATTTATAGCAAAATATATGGAAAAGAACCTCAATACCCGGGGGGGTACTCGCAGAAAAATTGGGTAGGGGTGTGCGGCCCGCTTCCCAAAACCCTTACCCTATTTATGACCAAAATCTGCGATTTTCCCTACTCTATTTATGACCTAACCAAAAATTTGATACCCTATTTATGACCTGACCCTTAAATCAATACCCTGTTTCAGACCTGCCTTATAATTATTTCCCTAGTTCAGGCCAATGTTAAAGGCAATGTTTATCTGCTTTTATTAGGTTAGGGGGACATGATGAGGAAGTAGCTTCTTCTAAAAAAGTGCATTCAAGACTACAGTGCAAAAATCGTTACCCTATTTATGACCAAAATGGCGGCAAAATAGCCAAAATCGATACCCAGTTTATGACCAAAACGGCTGAAAAACCCTACCCTTTGGGGCCGCACATACCTATATAGCCCATATTAGGGAGTACCCCCCGGGGCCTCAATATCACTGGCGAAACCTCGTTTTGCGAACATATTTTTGCCAATCCCTTGGCCCTTCATTATATCGAGGTTTTTACGTACGTGCAAGTCCCGCGGCTAAAATACAAACTTTTCTATTAAGACGTATTTTTGCGTTTAATAATATATATCTATTTCTATGAAGAGATCGGTTTCACTTTTGGACGAAAGCAGAAGCATATAGGTGCTTCTGACGGAAGCCATGACGCATAAATTTGAAAGTATACTTCTACAAACTTAGACGGAGACGTGTGGACATACTTTCGACACAGCCAGTTACATGTAGCTATCAGGAGAAAAAACACGGCCTCCCAAGGGCACTAAACATTTAAATTGCCGACACCTCTCAAGATCATAAATTTCGCTTCCTTGTAGTGGCGATATTTCGAGAGCAGGCGTAAAATTACGCCCGAATAGCCCATACTATCTGATAGTAGTCCTTTTATCGACTTATACCATCTGAGACTGGCCTGTAACAGGAGCTAACAGGCTGGGTTAACTTTCACGAGAAGCTCAAAAGAAATACTTTTTTTATATGCGGGCATTGTAAGCAACATTTTCCAAACTCAGAATCTGGGTTCACTTTTCGAGTTTCAAGAACTCGGTTTTATTTTCCTTACATGCATCTTGCAATCTGAAAACGATTCCTTCTGGTAGTACAAATGGAGGCAGCCTGTAAACCGGCTATCCTTGGGGAACAAGGCTGAAAAGGCGAGATGTGAGGGGAAGAAATTTAGTAATGGGAAGGGATTTTCTCTTCTATTTCTAACCAGAAGGCCTGATCACAAGCTACGGTAGTCGAGGGTCTCCAAAAGGGTTTTCGGGACACGGAGTTCGCCTTATTTGAAGGAGGGCATTCGCCGGGATTTTAAAGCAAACTGGTGGCGAGATTCGGGATTGAAAGTGTTCACGAGTTGTGGGATGCCGAAAATAACCATCCATATACCGGATTGTCCCTAGTGGGGATCCTTGTAGTCCAGAAGTAGGATCCCTTAAAACCGAGAAAAAAACAGTAGGAAGAGGAAAGTTTCCTTCGCAAATAAGCGAGAAAATATATAATTTCTTTGTTTAGTCTATTGTTCGGCCATTAATCCAGTATTATTTTGGTGGAAATTACTCCTAGTTTCTGTTCGTTTAATTTCCACTTGTAAACAAGACTTGTGAAAGTTGTATTTCTCTGACAATGTCTTCGTTGCGTCCTCTAACAATGAGTTCACATCCGCTCTGGGATCTGTAGAAAAAGAAGAAAGCAAATTTCAGTTTGCCTACGAATCACTTTTTATTCCTCAAGTACAATCAAACCAAGTTAATACAGACAGTAAGGGGGCCATAGAAAGTGCCCGTTTTAACGGAGTGTCCGTATTAAGCGGTTTGAATTAAGAGAAAATGTTAGGGTCTTCTTACCCCAGGGACAAAGCAAACTGTCCGTAATAATGAGGTGTCCGTCTTAAGCGGGTGTCCGTTTAGTGGGAATTTCACTGTACCTCTGACAGATGCAAGTCTCACATTCAATGGAGCCTTCGAGCACTACGAAACCTCCTTGAGGCATTGGCCAAGACTGGCTGATTTCGACTGATTTTCCTTGAGTGCGTTGATTAGGACTATTAGGTTAAGGTCCCTAAAACCCTGGAATAAGTTCTGATTTTTACTGTTTTTACATTGCTTCAGAAATTGACGGTCTTGTAGTATCAGCAGCAACGGTACAGAACTAAAACAAGTCGTTCACGCACATCGAACTGTAGTGATTGGCCGAGAGGGCTTGGTGAACTAAATCCCAGTCCTCACTCCTGAATATTTACTTCCGTCTCAGTGGATTCCAATCCTCGCTCGAACTTATTCACTTCCGCTACCGCCCGAATACCTGTTCACACTTGTTCACACTACACCAATGTGTGGCACAGAACCTATCCGATATGTGACGCTCCACTTCGAAATCGGCGCGGCGCAGTTTCGCTTCGGTACTGGCGTTTTTGTGCCAGCGCAAAAGCTACCCGGTACAGCGTGTCCGGGGGCCAAACGCGCCTCACACACAAACGCAGATTGTTAAAAACACAACTTTAATGAAGAATCAGACTTGCACGTGTCAGCACGATTTCGATCAACACAACGAGTCACAATCTCATCAAGGCTTAGTAAAACTTCAACTTGTCAGGAAAAACCTACCCCCATCCCCCCCTCTCTCAAAAAAAGAAACACTAAATCACTGTCGGGGTGGAAATTGAAATGTACCAGCTCTGAAAAACTTATGATACGATGAGAAACTCGCTCCAAAGCGTTACAGGTAATTAAGCACATGGTTTGTATCACGACTAGCCTGTTCCAGGCGTTCGGATAGTGGAGTGTGGCGCGAAGGAGTTATCTTTTTTTGTGCTCACATCTCTTTGAGCAGTCCCCACGATCTGAACGTTTTCACAACTACACCGAGGTCTGCGCGCGCAGCATGCCTGGAGTCTTATAAATCACAAAAGGATTGGAACGGACTGTCTAGCCTCAACACAGCCAGTGTGAACATGGCCAAAACTTTAACTAACGCAAAAGAGCGAAAGATGGCCGGCGACTATGTTAAATTTACATACCTATGACCACGTGAGCTGACATTATTGTCTTGTTTGTTGTAAGTGCCCAGACATGTAGACTATGAACACCAAGCACATGATCAGTATTCGTCAGATCGTTTTTGACATCAGCAAGTCTTATGTTTGAAGGCACCCCTGAAGAAACACGAAATAGGAAAAATGCACTGATTAGACATTAAATCATTTTGTAGGTTCTTTAAGTACGTACTCAAAATTTTTCTTTAGGTTCAGATGGCTATCTATCTAGCTCAATCCCTCCTAACCCTTCCTGTGAAATCAGGTTCATCCCCTCTTCTCCGCCCTATGGCGCAACTACCTGGGGCTAAACGCTCCACCTCTGACACCATAATCTATGCTTCACACCACTTAGCATCCGAAGAGAGCATTTTCACTCACTTGGCCAGCCGGTCTATGCAAATTTATTGGAACAAAAGAATGCATTTACATAAGAAAAGAGTTCAACTCCTAGGGGATTTGATTGCAACACCGATATGGCCGCCGTGACCACATGTGGAAAGGCTCTATACTTGTTAATATTTACCCGCAAAGCTTAACGTTAATACAGGATGCCTAATATTTACTCTTACCTTCCAATAAGATATTGATCGAGTCTCTAAGAACAGTGAGAGTAGATGCAAGAACCACGCATGCGCCTAATAAGCTAAGAATTGGATCAGCGATTTCCCACGTCGGCTGCAAAGCAAAGCAAGACGAGTTAGGCAAATATTTCGAAACGAGGATACAGTAAACAGCGACAACTGATATAACTGATTCCGTTCTAAACTCCCAGTGAAAATGAAGGGAGAAACAAAAAGGCGGATAATTTATAGAGAGACAAGAAGAATATAAAGGATGAGAAACAAAGGGACAAGCTAGACAAGAGAGTATGTCCCATACTCCCCTGCGAGAGAGAACATCGTGGAATGAATGATGCGTCTGCGCAATTTTTCACTCATCATTTTTTAAGTCATCCTCAAAAGATTGACACTGGAATCGACAAAAGCAATATATATTTAAAGCCAGCGACTTAATTTGTTGTAACCACGACAGAGAGAGGCGTGGAGCATAGACTGGAAAAGCACATTTATCTTATTTCAATGGACAACGTATAATGAGTTGTGAAGGTGTCAGGGCCTTAAGCCCTTGTCAGACTAGCTAGCAAACGTTTCCGCGCGATTTTGTTGCTCTTGCTCCGGGTTTGGCAACGAAGCTGGAACGGAAACAATTACTAGTACGAAGGCTTCAGTCAGACGTCATATAAATAAGAACCAAATTTAACAAAGAAGTACACACTACCAACTTCGCGGAATGGCCAGGCAGTACTTTACGCATGCGCATAGCCATATCACGCGGGCAGTAACAGCCGTGGACAGCTGAATTATGGATAACCAGCTTCGGGTGTACTTACATTGATTTTAATGAGAATTGCACCCACAAGTACGGCAAAACTGTGAAACACGTCTCCCAAAGTGTGAAGAAATGCAGCCTTGACTGTAATGTTTGCTTCACAGTGATGGTCACCATGATGTGAATGAACATTCAACAAACAAATAATTCTACAAATGGAAAAAAACAATACATTTAATCGAACCGATTAATCAATCAACCAATCAATCTGTAAAAGTTGTAAATATTTTGATTATAAAAAGACTCAATACAAAATGTATGTTTAGCTTTAACATTTATACGGTTAAGAAAATGTAAATATCCTGCGATCAATGTTGATAAGGGCTAGCCTTGTAACCATCTTGCCTTACACTTGACAAACAACCCGTACGTTTTAAAAACTTTCACTGCAAGAGGTGGCCAAAGTTAAAATTAGACAAATTATTCAAGTTTCATTTTGTAGAGAGTTGAAAAACAAATAGTACCACATGAAAGAACTGCCAAAGAGCTTTCATTTGATTGGTCACACTAGAGGATTTCATTTCGTTTGTACTCAAAAGTTAGAATCACCTTGTACAGCATAATAAATAGTACCACGGGAAAGTACTGCTCAGTAGCTTTCATTTGAATGGCCACATTTTAGGATTTCATCCACAGACTCAAAAGTTAAAACCACCTTGTACAGCATAATAAACAGTACCACAGGCAAGTGCTGCTAAGTAGCTTTCATTTGAATGGTCACATTTGAGGATTTCATCCACAAACTCAAAAGTTAAAACCACCTAGTACATGACAGTTTTAGATTAGTGTTCGTTAAGAAAGAGTTAATTGTACAGCAAAACTGCAAGAGGAACGTTTACTGTGGCAAAAATGCGTCATTTAGGCTAATTACTTCTCTTATATTAGAACATTTCCTTGCCACCAAAAGGACTTTGATAATGGGACAGTTAGGATTAGTGCCTATTCAGTGTTAAGACGTACTTACACAATATTAGCACCAAAGGCAAGCGCAGCAGTAAGTATCATTGCATTAGGGTTCACGTGACTATGATGACCGGTGGAACCTGGGAGTAACCTGAGGATTGATTCATACGCCAGCACTCCGGTCAGCAGCCATAACGTCAGAATAACGGCGCACGCTCCAAGAATTTCTGTGAAAAACGTTTATCAAGCAAGTCGTTAATGAAGGAAAAACTGGGTAGCCTGTTTTTATATATCACTTTTATCTTTGTTAAACGCGCGAGTTATTTTCAGTACACTTGAACCGACAAGAAAACTGGTATGAGCATAAAGACTACAGCGCAAATAGGCAGCATAAAACTTCGATTTCACTAAACGCTTATAAAAGCAGAGCATTTTCAAAGTTTTAACCGACTTCGGGTGGCCCGGATGTATGACCACGGCCCATTATGAAGCCGGGTCCCGTCCCCAGTAGGGAATGTAAAAACATTGTCCTTACTAGTACTTTCGTGCTAAATACATTGACACACTCTGTGTGTGTGACTTGAAATTCACAAGTGGCGGTTGCTACACTGCGACAACCTTCTTTTGGTAGTTGATTAACCATGATGGTGCTCCATGGTGGGCTCTAAAAACCAAGTGACACACGTACACCAACCCACCAGTACCTAACGCATGCGCAAAGACATGTCACCAGGGCAGTAGCAGCAATAGACAGCTGCTTCGCCCTTATTGAGGCTCATCAGAATGGCCTAGCGGTCGTTTCTCTATACGGTCAAAGCCGTTTTAGTTGCCTTAACTACCCAGGCGAGTGTAAAGCACTCCTTTAAGCGCCCTTTCCCCCGTTGCACGTGCTGGAAGGGCGGATCAGCCTAAAGTGCATTTTTATGTAAGGCTAAGGACTAAGGCCTTTTCGTGAAAAGTATTTAATTTCAATCGAGGATTCAATCACTTTAGTGCGCGTTCTTGGCGTGTGTATGTTAACAATTACCAGCTCTGTAGTAGCCGTATGTTTTCCTCTGGTTTGGTTTCCATCGTGCTATCCACGAAGCAGCGAGGCTCATCAACAAAGAGTTTAGATCAAAAAACTGGTGCAGAGCATCGTTCATGATGGCCAGGCTGTTGGCAATTAAACCACCTGCGTTTGAAAATAACAACAACTTAACGCAAATGCAATCCATTCTATACTCTCTGTTCTCAGCAAGCGTGATAGCTTGTGAAGATGTGCTCTGTGTTTATTCGGGGAGGCCGAGTTTTTGCACCATAAGCTGCCGATTACAATAACTGAACTTACATATCTTTGTAAGCTGCCGATTACAAGAACTGAACTTACACATCTTTGTAAGGGGTTTTTGGAGGGCTTATAAACGGACGGGCTTATATCCGGGGGGGGTTAAAATCGGATGTGTTATTTTGCTTACAGGTAGATGGGCCTTTTACTGGGGGGCTTATAGCTGGGGGGGGCTTTTAACTGGAGGGGCTTATAGCTGGGGGGAGGGCTTTTAACTGGGGAGCTTATAACAGAGGGGGACTTATAACTGGGGAGCTTATAACCGAGGGGGCTCATAACTGGGGTCGCTTATAACTGGGGGGCTTATAAGCGGCAGTTTACCCTCTGATCTGACTGATCGGAACTGTTTGGGACATGCAAAACATTTAATTCTCAGGATTTTACTAAACGAAATCTGATATTTTTTGCTTATTTTTTCTTTGATCACCATTTTGAGTTATTCTCGGTTCCTTCTTCAGTTTATACGTCGAAAAACTTTTATCAGGGTTTTTTTTTTTGCTATTCTGAGGTAAAAAGGGATGAGCAAACACAGGCAACTGACTTAAGTTTTAAAAATAACAGAGACGTCTTGTTAAACAGCCCAGTAAACTTCTAGCTGTTTACTGATCATCTTATCATTTTAGTTCTTATATACACAAATGCATATTTTTTAAACAGAAACATAGTGTTGGGGGAGGTAAAATTTTGGGCGTTCTTTTTTTATCGTCAAGTTCAAAAATAAGAAGGAGTTCAGTACATTATCACAGGTTAGTGCTGATGAATAGCTCTCATAACGAAGCGTTTCCTTTAAAAGTCAGGCTAAATGTTTTTAAATTTAAATTTGTTTTAGCTGTGAGTTGTTTGTCTTGAAATGTCAATGACTGCAAATACAGCTATTAATGCTAAAGTTATCCGTTTTTCGCCTTTTTCATACCAGCGTGTCAGCTTTATATCTGTAAACCCACAGCCTAAAAAAAGAATAATTTTACGAACAGGTGCTGAAGATACATTTTTACCGTGGTAAAAATATTCTTCATTTGTTTGGTATCGAGGGTGTCATTTTCGTTATTAGGAGAAACTCTCTGACGATGCATTTGTGACCTTGTCCTAACCTAATTCCCTGTCTATTAACTCAGCAAACGATTTCAAAAAATGGCTCGGTTTCAACACCTCTTCAAGAGAATTTTAATTCCAGTCGGTTCTATTTTTACTTCCGTTTGCTTGAAAGCTGTTTTAATTCACTGCTTCACTTCCCTTGAAATTTGCGAAGAACCCTTCTGGGAAGCCAAAAAGGATTTTATAACAACAAAATTTCGAAACTTTCGTGGAAGTTGCCTCTATATTTAATTTTTTTTGTTCTTTTGACTATTTTTTAAATTTAATAAAACCATGGGCAAAGGTAAATCCAAGAGTTTTAAATTCACACCAAAGTATTTGTTGATATGAAGTTCCGTGGACCATAACATGAAAATACCACATATCACAAACCAATTTTGCATATAATTAACTCATTATGTTGATCGCTAAATTGCTTTCATTTTGAAGGAAGTGTAAACTTCTGTTCATAAAAGCTTTACTTTTCGAAACAAATCGCCGTTTTTCTGTTCGAAAGATTTTTAAAGTTGACTAATCGATCAGCCGAATGAAAAGACAAGGCACTAACTTTTTTTAACACAGATGGCAAGTATGGAAATGGTTAGTGCTCATATCATTCATTTATTATTTCCTCGGCAGTCTGTAATTTTTTTCTTACCTGTAACCTCGCAGATAATAAATACTACACAAAACAGACACGCGGTGACCAATCTTCTCCTCGCGTCATTTTCATGTCGATGTTTCTCTTGTCTGACGAACTGGCAGCCTGTTTCTTCATCCGCTTGCGAAAGTTTCGAATATTCGCGTCCAGCCATAGCTTTTCTTTTCATATTCTATTTACGGCAAATATCATAGTGATTATTTTTCCGCGAGCGAGTTCGTGCGCGATGCGTTTCGCGATGTGCATGTATGGTTTCCTAGGCACCAACCGCGATGACATGTGGACCAATCGTATTTCAGAAAGCGCGATATTTACCGCAGATGTATCAATAAGGTGTTTTAAAGCAAACGCCGTTTAAAACCCTTTACAAAGTTTTGTTTTGAATTATTTAACATCTGCTGAAAATAAAACACCACGAAGCGAAGAGAGCCTTATGTTGACACTTGTAATTGTTTTTCTTTTATGCCGTTCAAAAACTCTTTTAGAGATAAACAAAGTCAATTCTATATTCTTAAAATACTAATGATATCAAAAATGTTAAAATTCAAAAAGTTGTGCTTATAAACTGCTGTTCTTGATACAAGTGTATTTTCAGCTAACTTATATACTCGACAGCTATGATATAATTTGGCTATCCGTGGTCTAGAAATGTAAAGCTAAATTTAAACAAAAGCTTGAAGCTTTAACGAACGTGTTATCGTAATACCAAACAATGATGTCGAGTCATCAAGTAAATTTATTGGACGAATAAAAACCCTACTTCTGAAGTGAATCCCTTCTGTACAGTAGGCTTAAAAGTCGATTTAAACTGACTTTTTCCTTATAATAAGTATAAAATGAACAAACCGCTCCGCAAACAAAAAAAACTGTCGTCTGCCATATTTTTACGTCTGAAATGATCAGTCAAAATACTATTTACTCTTTTAATTGCAAGTATACTAGATGTATTTTCATTGGTTGAAGCGTTTAACGAAGACGTTTTGTAAATGTATTTGTGTTTGTAAAAACGTGAAAGTGACCTTTATTACGCAAGGACTGTGCAAAGTCACCGGGCGCGATCCTTTCAACCAAAATTTCCGGAAATTTCGGTCCAAACCTCAATGGATCGGTTCGGTCCAACAGGCAAAGTTTCGAAAAAACTGGTCCAGCTTTTGAGATGGACAACTTTTCACGGTCGGACCGGTCGGAATTTTTGTTGAATGGATCGCGTCCACTATAATAGTGAGACATTTTGAAGTCTTCTCGTCTCGGATGCTATTGATAGAAACTTAAAAAACTGCGTCTATTCCAAATTTATTGATAATTGGTTTTCATAATTTGTGAAACACAAGGGGATATACAATTTGCAAAATGAATGATTGTTTCTATATTGCTTTCCACAGCTGTACAAAGTCCAAAAATTCTCATGACTTGTATTCAATCGATATGCTAAATTTAAACGGACAATATCCGGAGCCCCACAATATCCTAAAAACATCAACATGTAATATCACACTTTACTCGTCACTGATATTGACAGTCAGCTTTTATTATGCTTCTGGACTTCAAAAAAGAAATTGAACTCTTTTTAAAAACAGATAAATTAAACGAGTTGTTATCAATCGAGTGATTTTTTTAATTTATTGGTCATGTTTGCCATTGTTCAAACACTACGTTGCCAAAGAAGATGCTTTTGCGAAGGCCAGGCGTCCATACAAACGGGACTATTGGATAAATATCGCTTAATTATTAAATGTCTCCATTGAGCAAGAGGTCCACAGATAAGGGTGGTTTCACTGCACTGGTCGACAGTGTAGTCGCCAGTGCAACTCCATGGTAACAGGTTTACTGCCGGGAGGATTTCAACTGTACTGTACTTTTTGAAGTCTCAACATAGAGTCGGTCCTCAATGAAAATAGTTGCGCAGATTTATTTAAAAATGAATGTTGTCAGTAGTAGTAAGCTTTTTTCACAGAGCCAATATGATTTGACTTTTCAAAAGAAAATCGAAAATTTCCCACATCTCTCTCACGTATAGTCTTTTATATTCGGTATTTATTTATTTCTTTATTTATTTTTTAATTTCATGTTGAGTGAAAAAAACTTCCAACATAGCCTGTGTAGCTGGCGGGATTCTTGTGACCAGGGGGTACCGAGTTTTTCGCGAAGCGAGCGGCGAAGCCGAGAGAAGCCGAGAGGGAAAATGTATCCAGACTTCTCGCGGCTCCGCCGCCAAAACAATTAGGCTGATTTAGCAACAGAACGGGAACGTCAGTCGACGACGGCGCACGCAAATCAAACAACTGCTTGACCAATGGCTGAGCGGCAAATTGAGCACCGGAAGTCGAGTTTAGTCCTTTCCGCGCGCTTTCCCGTCGTCAAATGAAGTTCCCGTTCTATTGCTAAATCAGCCTAAACACAGACAGCACTCCCACTCTAATCCCGTCAGCTACTCAGGCTACTTTCAACAGAACGTTATGAATTATACTGTGTTAGAGAAAAACTGGTATTTTTTTATTTGTTTTTTCTCGTGTTGTTCTTTCATGACGCAGCACTTCGTTTTTCGCAGCGGTTTTGAGTCATTGAGACGAGAGACCCTGGGAACTGATTCTGTGGTTCGTCACGCGAGGCTTCTTCCTGATTCGAGTAAGTAGGTACGTTGCGTGACGACAAAAATAACGACACCGAAGATTTCTCATTTGTCTTCGTTAAATGTTACTTAATTTAAAGACCCCTTCCGGATCAACCCCAGCAGAAACATGCTTAACTAACGGCTATGAAGAGAAGACGGCCGATGAAAAATGTCTGTTAGGGGATGAATAAAAATTTCATCGAGTAAAAGTGTGCTATGATAAGGGCTGGCTGTGGTGAAAGGAAGTTACAGAAGTCGTTAAAGTTTTGACTGCCTCTTTGACACTTTCTGCTTCTTTGGTTTCTTTTCAGGGGGTTTGCTATCGGAGGAAAATAATCCCCCGGGTAAAAGTCCCGTAAACATCCCTTCCTCCTCCTCCTCCTCGCTCTCTTCCTCCGATGTAGTTTCCCAGCCGTGCAAAACTGCCATCGTAGTCTGAAGATCTGTTTTACCAGGAACAATGTTCAGAAGCTCCAGTTGATGCCACATGGTTACTTCTTTGTTTACCATAAGTTTCCACTGAGCGAGACTTTGCCCGATTCCTTGGCAACCAATACAAAGCTCACCAATCAGACGCTTTCGTCCAATCAGTGGCTTGTCTTTGACGTGTATTACAAGATTGACCTCATCTAAGAGATGTTCCTCCACAATAAACGTAAATTCCTTTTCGAATTTGGGCTCTAAGTTTTTCTTTACCACTTTCGTTTTCTTGGTTGTTAAGACTTTCGAACCTCGCACGAGGTTCAGTGTTACGTAGGAATCTGAAAAAAAAAATGAAGAAAAGGAAATGGTTCAGTTTCACTTCAGTTGTACAAAGACGCAAACCATTTCGAGGCGGAAATTGATGAAGTAGCTGTTTTTCAAGAAGTTCCAGTCTTTCGAGGAGTCGTCGTTAGATTCAAGCATTGAAATGTTCTCAGGCTTGTTAGCTAGGCAAACACGTGTGTTTACTGGGTATATTTTTGCTGATCTGGCCTTCTTTATATTAGATCGATCTCTAAACTCTTTTAGCTCGCCCCAACAACGTACCATTTATTACAAGTGGTACAGTGCAAACCAAATATTGGAAGGCCCTGGCCTACTGGTCTATGGGTTAGCTACACCCCTCAATCTAGTCTTCAGGGCTTTGCCCCTCCCATTTTGTAAGGGAAAAGCCCTGGGACCGAGGTTGTCCTCCCCTACTACAATGGCCTATACGGGGAGGAACCGCCCGATAGGGTAACCTTTTTCAGGCTTCGGGTATATGAAAGGATAGGGATTTTACTAGCGGAAGTATATGAAAGGGTAGGGAAATCTGCCATTTCGGTTTGTCATGAAAGGACCTTAAAGAGCTTACATACAAATCTGCTGTGAAAAAGACAAGAAATCCTCCTGGTTTTTGTGATTTTTTTCAGATTAAAAATGAAGGTGCATCTATAGCAGTTAAAAGGAAGGCAGCGTTCTACGGTCTTCTGAAACTACAGTCTTGAACAGAATAAAATGGACAAGCAAACCCCATCCCTCCCTCCCCCCCTCCAAAAAAAAAACAAGGATGAAGGCAAGCGAAAGGCAAAACGCGCCATTTCCCCATTCTTGATCTGGGGGAGTGGGGTCTAAGGTTTCCATCTATTTTGCCCAGGATTGTTGGTATACCAAGGTATAAGAGAAGGGTACCTTTTCCGTTAAAGATGACACATGACAAAGATTAAGAGGTTGGACGTCGGGGCAGAGCCTCTCTGTACAAAGACTTAAAAGGCTTAAAAGTTAAGATGTCATACTTTCGTACTACGAAGACACAATAAGGGCACAATCTACGTATTTCCGTAATACTTACTGCACGACACGCGTCCTGGGAAAGGTTTTAGGCTTTTGCATTCCACTACTTTAACAATCAACTGACTTTCACCTTCATAGTACTGCATAGAAATTTTGATATCCCCACGCTCCGCACCACGAACCTGAGAAAAGGCAACATTTGTGAGCTAAAGAGTCTATAGACAGGAGTTGATTTGTTAAAGAACGAAGCCGAATACGGGAAGGATCAGCAAGCACAACAACATCCAGTTTGAATAAAACACCATTGCAAGATCAGAAACCTATGCTCGCAAGTCGCAGCATTATTAGGCCGAGTATAGGGAGGCTAAGCACCGCTCTATAGTCAACCTCGTTTCCAGGATTCTTTCTCTTGTTTTCTCGAGGTAAGAGTGAGGAACCCTTTATATAAATGTCGACATCCAAATCTTGTTGTTTTATTCAAGACAAAAATATAAGCATTAACAACAAAACAGCAAAGACAAAAGCGACTTGAGGTTTCCCGATATTTCAGACGGACAAGCGGTCCTTACTCAGGGGATTTGATAAAGAAACGGAAAGTCATTATAATTCAAGAGAGAGAACCCTGGAAACGAGACTGCGTTCTATTTATCAACAACACTGGCCTGCCTTCTGTGTCATGTGCAGGTGGCAAAACATACCTGAATGAGCACATTTCAATCAAACAGGCTAAAGAAAAGGGGCAAAAACAACTTCTAAGTAGACCAGAAATTCCAAAAAAATCGTGTTCCAGAATACACCACAACTAGCTTCAGATGGCGTTCTTTGGCAAACTTTTTCGAGACGAATAGGTTAAAAGTCAGCCCAAGCGTTACTCTGTTTCGATCAAATCCAGGTTCGTGAGTTACTTACCGAATCGATCCATCTCAGCGTTTCCTCGTACACAATCTCCTTGCCTTTTGCCTTGAAACTAACATCATCAAGTTCAATTTTGCATGAGCCAATCAGATCTCGCGTAGAAATCTGATTGTAGTCGCAGACATGAAGGTACATTTTTTGGTCATCGACCTCCTCCTTATTGATTGTGATACAGACTTCATCGTTGAAAACAGGGCTGAACTCGTTTCTTATGTATTTTGTTCGCGGTTTTTCGGGTGTCATCCGGTGAAAAGGAAACATTTCTACCTCAACGTACGTATACACGGTTCCTCCGACGAATTTCATTGGCAGACCATCGCAATGATAAACTTTTACTCGTAGCTCAGAACTGAAAAAGAGAAACAAGCTTTATTTTGTGACTATTTGCATGACCATGACCATAAAAGAGTAATCCAGTGTTGTAAACTGTAATTATTAACTGACGGTATCTCTCAATTCGTCTATTAATATAATAGGCCTTCTGCATTAGTTGAACACGTGATCCACTTTCGGTAAACATGAAAACAGTCCGCTTTTAAAAAAGTTTGTTAACGCGAGCTGAAAGAGGATGTTAAAATCAGGTAATCTGTAAATTTCTAGCCATACATCCCCAAAGCAGCGATTGCAACGGCCGCTGAAAATTAGAGGGATTTGTATGAGAAAAATCGCTTTTGCCGCCCAGTCACGCTTAAATGGTTTTCCATACAAATCCTTGTAATTTTGAAATTTTCAAACTGTCACGAAGCATTAAGTAGCTCAAATCTTCTTTTAATTCATAACAGGAAATTTGAGCCCTTTCAAAAATGTGTAAGGAAAACATTTAACAACAGTTTTAAACTTTCAGAAGAATAGCTCAGAAGGGTGGATAGGATCTCCACTAATCTCAAAGAGATAAATTGAAAACTGGTGTTACTACTGGACTGGTGTGGTGAAAATTGTAAAAAGAGAAAGAACGATCGATTAAGCGCTTATAATTTGTCAATTCTTACCGTTCTTGGTCGTACGCTAGTGAAAATTTAATGTTTCCAAGATTTTCCTGCAAGAAACGAAATACAAATAAATTTCTCCTACTTGCCCGTGTTTGTAAAAGACCTTTTTGGAGATACACCGCTTTCCTTTTACTAAAAAAAACCAACAGCAAGACGTTGTCTACTTAGAAACTACGTTTCTCCTACTTTCTCTACCCCGCTCGCCCTGTTATTTTTTCAGAAATCCTATTCTCGGCAAACACTGTGTGATAGCAACGAGAAAAACTGGGTCGAGTTAACTTTCACAAAGACTTCTGGGACTTTTGGTCAATAGCTGACGAACGCGTTTCGTTTTGCGAGACACGTTTCGGCTCCAGTTCTCTTCTCGTTTCTTAAGTGGCGAATTGCGAGTTAATATTGCTCTGCGCATGCGTAAGGAGCTGGTCAGACCGATGCAAATCTCTTACCAGTTTCTTTTTATCAGAAGATGCGGGTTGAACAGCTTCCAACTCCGTATCGGGAGTAGCATCAAGAAGTTCCACAGATTCATCTCTTTTCATTAAAGCTCCAAGCTTTGACATGGCTCTCTCTTTAGCTTCTTGGAGCCCTTTAATTGCTTGCCGGACACAGAGTACTATTATTATGACGATAACAATAGCAATAATGATTCCTACAGCCATTCCAGCTTTACTTCCGGTTACGAAGGCGATGGCTTCGCCCGCGTACTTGTTGAAGACTGCAATAAGGAAGAGTAAATGTAACTCCCCACCTACCCCTCCCCTCCTAAGTCAACGTTGATACTTACTTCTCACTTTAAGCAAAATTGTGACTTAGGAGAGGGGTAGGTGGGCAGTTTCCCAGAAACCTCAATTGATACGGCTCACTCCAGGCTCACCCTGCTACCGTGAACAAGTGAGTTAACTGGATTTAAGCGTTTTTGAGAAGTAGGACCCAGGCAGTGAGGATAAGGAACACCATCTCTGAGGTGGAAATTGCCCAAGGGAGATATACCACAAGGCTCAAAAATAGGAGTGATCTTGTTTATAGTCATGACAAATAATTCACTGCCTTCTTAGAACCTTAACATTAAATTTATTGATGATACAACTGCCTTTGAAATAATCCCTGAAATAGTATTAGCTTACTTGACTCTCCTATTAATAATATCCACGCCTTTTTTTAGGAGCACAGAATGAAATTTACCCTGGGTATCAGAGATTTTTTCTCGCGTGTGACGAGGAGCTTCGTCGGCCGCAGACCGATACGTCTTCGGCCGAAGGCCGAAGACGAATTGAGTCTCCGATCAAATGTAAAAAGATGTAAACTATAAGGAGATAACAGTTAATTTTACGATCAATCATAACTTTAGTTGATTATTAATCCTATATCAGTTGGTGGCAATACAACCGAAAGGGTCGTAGTGTAAAAACTGCTTGGAGGTTGTATTAGTAATGATCTGAAGCGGACCCATCATGTAGGCTATACAACAGGTTATTCTCTTTGTGTGTTCTTAAGCGGTGTGGCGCTCCACCAATTTCATTAGCTAAGTTATTTGTAACCGCTGCTCGTCCAATTTTAGAATACATTGTCCCCGTATAGCAAAACATGTCTTAATCAGTTCTGACTTCCAAGAACGAGAGCATTCACCAAAAGGCTATGCGTATCATGCTTATTCAAAAATTTCCACTCAGGAGGGCGGATTCAAGAAGTTTCGGATTCGTATGCCGGATTCACCGGATACGTGCAGACGGAAGCCGTATCCGCGAAGAAAAAGTTGCGGATGTAGAGGATATTACATGGAAGCGAGGGGATACGAATTTGCGAACGAGTGAGAGATATTTTCAGCACAAGAAGATAAAATTCGTATCCCCTCGCGGCCATGTAATGTTCTGTTTATTTCATAGATACTGATGAAATTCCTACATAAAACACAACTTGAAGCTCATCTGCGGATGCATCTGCGGAGAAAAGAGTGTCGACACGAAAAGCTATCCGGTGTGTGAACTAAGCCTTAATCAATAAACCAGTGAGAAAATAAAAATGTTTAGCCTGTTCCATAGGGTCCGGAGGAGTTCAGTTTGTCGTGAACACTTCCAAAACTCTGTTGAAAACGGGAAGCTCTCTGGTAATTGGCTAATCATGCTAGTAACCTTGGCGACACCAATATCCTCACACGTGAAAGATACAAATAGTATCTTCACTGCGCGCGGTGAAGATATGATTTTTTAGTAAAAGGCAAAATCCTGGTATTTAATAATCAAAGATATCTGGATACGTGTGGACGGAGTCTAAAAGTACTGCTCAGTGGCTTTCAGTTGTATGGTCACAGTCATTGCGTTCTAAAGTATATTCCACCCATGGACTCCAAAGTTTAAACCACCATGTAAAGCCAGGAGCCCATGGGCTCCTGGTAAAGCTTAATAAACAGTGTGGCTCCACAGAATTTAAGGGCTGTTAAAGACACATGGAATTTTACCCAAAGTCGCCTTCAGGAACGGTACCGTAGACAGCTTGCATATAAGGGTAAACAAAACAAGTCCGAAAAGAAACCGCACACTCTACCGTTTCGTCACTTTTTTAACATCATTATGAATATAGCCTGCGTGGCAGGCGTTCGAAAGGGAGGGGAAAGGGAATTAGGGCTCTCACGCTCTCGCGCGCGCCCAAATTTCTCCCTTCCCCCTCCCTTTCAACGCCAGCCACGCAAGCTATTATGAATAAAATAATTAAGACAAACTATTGCGTGCAACGGAAAACATATGTTCGACTTCGTAACACAATAATTTGATGACTTAAGTCGCTGATAAGGTAGCAAAGCTTTATCAAACAAAGCAAAAAGAAAAACGAAAATTGGAAAGTGTTATGAATTAACAGATTAATCCCCCCGTCTTCTACATTTCTTCTCTTTTTTCATAGTATTAAAAATATCATATATATTTAAATTTTATTTGTTATTGTTTCTGATTCATTATGATCTGAAGGAAAAACTGGTTTAAAATTTTTCTGACAAAAATCAGAAGAAATCAACCGCAACGGATAAATTTGGAGCTGCAACTATATTTGAAAGTAAGAAAAATTGGAAGTAATCCATCGCAAGAATTCAGCTTCGCGAATCTTCAATTAATTAACAAAATATCTTTAAACACGCGGAGGCAATAATGTTATCGACAGACATCAGAAACAAAAGGAGAAGTCTCTGCAAACATATTGAGCAAATTGATTGATGCGTTTAATTGAAATATTTTAGCAATATAATGATGATTGCTGTTTTCTGAAGAAAAGGAAAACGCTTGGATAGTTTAAGGGATTTTTAATTAGGCTCACTTTTCCTTGGAGACAAATATAATGAAAGTATCAATTTAAGCAACGATGTTAAGTCTTAAGTTATGTTTGCCAACGGAGATCTGTTATTCCATTGTAATTCTCAACAATTATAACTAACGCTGTGTGCGCAAACTCGATATAATTAGAATTCACCTTCTGAAGAGTTCCCAAGGAAATATATATATATCTTCGATATTGTTAGAAAATGTAGAAACCAAAACTTTTCATTTAAAGTCTAACGCTATATAGCCTATATATTTTCGTTATTTCAATGCGAAAAAGGAAACAATTTCAAAACTTGTGGAGAATTACTAGATGACGTCAATTTGCCAGACTGTTTGTCCTCGCGTGCTCGAAAACTTGATCGTAAAATTATGACTTACAAGTAATACATTATAAATAGTATTTCAAACCATTTTTCGTCTCTTCCAAATACATGCTTTAATTTTTTTAAAGAGAAAACTGCTGCCTAACAGCTTCAAAACGAGTTTAAAAAATCGCCTTAATTGTAGTTGACGATGCGAAAGAGATTAGCGGAGTTAAAGTTCTGTCATATAGCAATTGTACTAGGATGATGAAAGTGCAAAATTAGCTTTAAATCAAAACATTTCTAGACGGTTTTCATTGAGAGTTTAAAATCTAATGGTTGAAGTTTTAAGGCCGTATTTTATGCGAACGTTTGATCATAATCATGATGCATATTCTCATTAATATAATTTGCTTGATAACAACATCAGAAAATAATGAAATAACATCTAACTCACCTGTCCCATTCGTAGGAGGTGCTGTTGTAGAAACGTTGCCTGTTATATTCGTGGGTAGAACAACCGAACTTGTCTCCATATTTTCCGACGATAACATCGATCATTAACAGTTCACTAATGAGGCAAAGCTTCTGCTTCTTGTGCTGTTCGATCCGGGCGATTGCTACTCTGAAGTGGCCCGCACCTTTTCAGTTTAAGCTGACAAGCATAAGGCTATCCAGTCTTTAAAATTCCCATCAAATGTATCCAGTACTATGCGAAAGTTTTCCAAAGAATGTGTCTCTTTTAACAGGCTGTCGAAGCGTGTTAGAAAACCATCCGTCGCGAAGAATCTGGACGACCAAAGAAGGCTTTAAGTATTTCTCCCCTAGCAATCGCGCCAAAGAACTGTGACGACCGGCCTAAAGTATTTTTACATCAGAAAGTCACAGTGTGAGAGCACCACGAGTAATAGTGGTCAGAAGATAATCGCTTTTCTCTGCTTTTAACTACTGTGGTGCTGACGTGAGCGCTGGAAAAGTAAGCTTTTTCGGTTGACATTCGTTTTCACCGACAAAAGGAAATCTATGCGTATGAAATAGAATGCAAATCTACCTGAGGACATCGACATAACAAAGCCATGAAAGACAGAAAATATGCGCATTTTTTACACGCTTGACTTATAGAACCATCCATGTGTTTACCTTAATTAGTTTGCAATTTTATTTATATTCCTTTGTGTAAACACATCATTTCAATCAGTCATTTCTTGTACATAAAATCTTTATGCTACGATAAGTGCACTTAAAAACGCACCTACACATTTATTAACATATTTTAAGCTGTTATTTTTGTTGACAAGAACTTTTTAATGCAGAAATTTAGTTACAAGTGAGAAACCTGGTGAATAAAATCTGTAAAATAACCTTTTTAAGTCTAGCCCTCTCCTTTCTTCAAATTACTGAAGTACAATTTTTCCTGATACATGCACACAAAGGCAGCCGGTAACTCGAACTCTGAAGGGAAACGAAAAACATTTCGAGTTAGCGAGGAATTCGAGTTATCGGTGCAAATTTCAGTGAAATTTTGACCAAGGGAAAGGAAATTTAGTTCGAGTTAGCGGGGAATTCGAATTCTGCGAGTTCGAGTTATCGAGGTTCTACTGTATATACTTCTCGTCTGACAATATCTTGTTTTCTTTTCTCTCATCCCAAGAAACATAGATTGTCTAGATTCTGCCGAAGTGAATACACAGAGATCGACCAATCAATTTAGATTTCTCTGTGCTAAGCAATGTATCTTGTATCTTACGCCCGTTTTCTGGCGCCAACCGTCTAAAAACTTAAATAGCAGATTCTTCTAGACATAACGACTTTCCCACTCTTCTCCGCAGAGGTTCCCGCGGGGTATCTCGATAAAAGCGCGCGGGGGACGACTCTCTTTCCCAGGGCGGATAAAAGTTGAGGCAAAGTTTGTAGTAATACAACGCCTCTAAATCCAAATAAATCCAGCTGAGTTTTTGTTATGTTATGTAAGATTTATCCTCCTTAAACATATGTAAAAATAGCGGTTGAGTAATGTTAAGCTTTTACAAACGAAACGGCGAAAGACGATTAGGTCATTTGTAGCGGCAGGGGGAGGCATTCAACACTTTCAAATTTAACTCAAATTTTGGCATTATAAGACCAACAAGTTTGACTTTTAGGCACACAGACATAAATATATGAAACTGGTTATTAATATTGTTATGAAACGAATTTACCTATTTAGAAAGAAAATAAGATTTCCGGTTTTAAAAAACGAAATTTTGCCGGCCTTCAAGCACACCAGAAGAGCGGAAAGAGCGCTCGTGCCAGTCCTTCTCCGCATCACACATCACTTGAGGAGCTGAGTGCTCGTTTCATTGCCCAACCTTTGTCCGCCCTGATCGTCCCCCGCCCGCCTTCTTATTTTCCCCTCTCCCCAGTCTCCTTTCGACACAAAAGGGAGCTTAAGCAAGAACGACGGCGACGGCAACGAAACCGTCACTTAAAAAGCGAATTCGCGCTGCTTTAAACTTTGTAGCTCTTATTCCATCTCGTTTAATACGTCAAATGTTGGCAATATTATTTGGAGTTGAATTCTACTGAAAGGACTGTATCAAAGATCAGGAAAAGAAAAAGAAAGTTGTTGTCTTGTGTTCCCGTCCTCGACAAAACGTGAATTAGGCACTTTCACACTAGTAGACTTGCAACGACAGCAAATAAATGTGCAAAAAAGCGTGATGCACGTGCAAAGCTGTTATTTTGCCAATCTAAATATATTGCGTTTTTGCAGTTCTCGTTGCCGTCGCCGTCGTCGTTGCCTAATCTCCCCAAAGAGGAGAGAGATTGGAGAGTGAGAGGTTTCTGGGAAACTGCCCACCTACCCCTCCCCTAAGCTAACATTAACACTAACTTCTTACTTAGGGCAAAACGATGACTTAGGGGAGGGGTAGGTGAACAGTTTCCCAAAACCTAAATTGACGCAGAGTCTTTCCTGAAGTAGACGTCAAACCCAGTATTGAGACCTGTAGGTACGTATTTCCTTTCCCTGATGTTGCAAGAGACACCACAGGAACTGCAATAAATTATGAAAAACTGGAAAACAATGTGCATTATCTTGGATGACTCTGGTCAATGCTTAATTAAAAATTGATCAATAAATGAATCAATCAAAAAATTTATCAATCAATGAATATATTAAAAATTAAAAATTAAAAATATTAAAAATTAAAATTAAAAAAAAATTGAATATCAACATGCCAAGAACTGGTTTTATTTAGTTGGTAGTAATATCCTAAGTAAATAAGCTCCCACATCTTGAGAGCCAAAGATTAGACATAAGGGTTGCCTCTCAGCCAGTGTCACATTTACTGGCAAGAATGTTGTCTCAATAACTAATAATTTCTCAGGAAAAACAATCATTACCAAGGTTTGGTATTTTACCTGAATCGCACATAATATTTAAAACTGTTAAGAAGCTTTGGTTCCAGGATAATTTTCTGGAGGGCCGCAAAATAATAGTAATGTGAAGACATTTATTCAATCTAGAATCAAGTACAGCTGCAGTCTCACCTTCAATGTGGCTTCGTTTTGAGGAAGGAACTGGTTTGTGGATGATGCCTCTCTCTCTCCTTTTTTTACAAACGGTAGATGCACTATCCCTGTAAAAGAAAATAGATACATACATTCAAAACAACTGATTAACTCAAAATAAGACCGCCAGCAAACAGATTGAACAGACATTTTATGCATTTACCTTCTTCTTGTCTCGAGCGATAGAAGATGAGCAGCAAACATGGAATCGTTGTCGTATCCGCACTTGATCCTCGTAGAAACCCAAGATTAGAAAAAGTGTTCCATCCAACGAAATCCTTTTACGAGTCTTACGCCAGAACTGAAGCCTCGCTGAGTTGTTAGCGAAGATTTTCTTGCGGCCGCTTCCTGATCGGCGACCGCCATGAGAGGACATTTGTTACCTCCAAACAGTTGACCTCAAATAAGCCGTTAATCAGAGTCATTGAAACAAAAACACACAGGAACCTTCTAAAAGGGCTGTACAATAGTAACTAACGTTTAACTATGCGAACTGTTAACGGATGGCTGCGATAAATAACGATAAACTCCTGATATTGAATCACCCGCAGAACTTGAAAAAGTTGGCGAACGTTTTCAAGATGTAACGCTTCATCGCGCACATGCGCAGTGTGTGACATAGCTCCTTTAAACAAAAGTTCTACTTATAGTCTCACTCTTTCCTTTACCACTGAAGGAGAACACAAATTCATCGCTACTGAAACAAAATGTTACATATATAGTGAACAGTAATGTTTACATTTGTAAGTACATGCTACGTTGCCCAAAATATGCAACTGATATACGAAAGTCTAGTCAAACTTTATTTAGGCAGGGTGGCTCTATCAGCCATTCAGGACTGGTACAGTAAAAACCCGCAAGTAAGAACCTACATTTTCTGGAGTTAGCCTACACAGGTTATTATTTGAATGGTAGTTAACACAATTTTAGGCTATTTAGGTTCTTAAATAGTTTCTTATTTCTGTAAAAAAAAAATTAAATAAAAAAACAAGCTACAAAACAAGATGGTAATCAGCCTATTGGTCAATTTCAAAATGCGATATACAACGATATTAACCTTTTGCACTTTATTTTTTTATTACGTCAATAAAAATTAGCACTTTTATTTGCACAGCAATGCCAAGTTCCTAATTCTCCAAACAGGATTCTTACACAGTTTTGCAGCTGCATTTCAATAATATGATTTTAAAAAATAAGAACCTGTTTTTCATTTTCTAGGCTAAACAGGTTCTTGTTTATAGGGGATATAAATGGCAAATTTTAGGCTAACAGGTTCTTAATTTTCAGGTACGTTCTTACTCTCGGGTTTTTACTGTATCAAAAGGAGCTCTGCAATGGCTCCTGGTAAACGATGTTTTTAGATAAGGCAACATTTTTTAATACCATTGACCATAAAATGTCTCGGTAAGGAGCCACGTAAAAAGAGTATAGTCTTCAATAAATTTATCAAAAAGAAACGCTAGTCAATCAACGAACACTAAACGCTGTCAGTTTTTCTGATAGGGTAAACAGTTGCTTGAAGAATGGTTGAATGGCCTCGCTAGTACAATATCAAGTTAGCTAATAAATGCACGCAACTACAAAAGTAGATCGTAGGCAAGATTTTTCAACATTTAGTCATATCCGTCTTATATCAGCTTATTTTGGCTGACGAAGTGATTATGTTGTGTTGTAATCTCGTGCGAGATTACAAAAATGTAGTTGTGTCGTTTTCCTGTGTATAACATTTTTGCTAACTTGGGCTACCTGTGGTTTTATCACAAGCCTGGTAACGAAGGTTATATAAACCAATTAAATTCGCCCGACTGTCTCCCGTAAGATTACTTAATCCACGCGAATATAATGGAAAGTACACCGAAAGTTTGCATTATAAAGAAACCCAACACAAGCATCATGGACGTGACTTGACACAGAAATTTTAACCAGATTTTGTTAATATCTTTACTGTGGTGTTCTGTGAACATCTTCGACAGATCTGTTCAAAATGTTCTGGAAACTGGACGGAGTAAAGCTGGAAGACATTTTACCCATACCAAAAGCACAACCGGTGAGTTGTTAAGTACTTTCCTTTGTGTACTGTAGTCGCCAGCTTGACAACAGTGAAGTACCATATAAACTAAGCTAAGTTTACATGTATACTCGCGGATGAAACCTTTTTTGCCTAAGTGACGAAGTAAACAACATTTGATGGAGCAAGGTTCCGCGCTGTTAATTTTCTTTCTAACTCTTTTTCTTTTAAAAACATCAAAACAAGTTATTTCTCATTAATGCTTGTGTTTCTACAATCAATTGGTGCTAATAAATAGCCGGATAAATAATTTCTACAAAGTTGAATAAAGTCTTGTTTTCTGTAGAAACAGTTAGTCCAAAAGCTCTTTATATCAGTGAATGAGAAAACATTGCGTCAAATCGAAAACTATAAAAGTTTAATTGTTAGTTTAAGTTTTTTGATGACTAAATGACTTCTTTGGCTCATATATTCAATCCACTCTAGAGTTTTTGGAATTGTTCGAAGGCAAGGCGTCAAACTGAGTACCATCGAGGCTGGATATCAAACTAGAATGCAAAAACTGTTGAAAAAAACAGAACTGAACTTCCAGGATTTTTAGTGAAAAATTTCATGATAAATTTACATTGTAAAGTTCTCAAAGTTTCAGCCATATTTCATGAATACCGTTCAATCAGCCCCAATATGGCTCCTTGTCGATGCTGGCTGTATAGACAGTTTCTTGGTTAATATTATATTAGACTTAACGCTGTGTTTAAAACCAACTTGGCTTGCCGTTTTTAATAAGAAGGCATTTAGAAACGTATTTAACAATCCTATTAAAATTTTCCGCTAGGACTAGGAAGTTTTACAGTTTTGCATGCAGTAATTGACAAAGCTTTGAGGTCTTTAAGAGCAGATTAGCGCAATTGGCGCCGGGTCTAATCACGGTATTAAATTTTAACAGTCTGATTAAAACAGACAAGCTAACATCGCGATAATTATGTTATCTTTCGTGAAATTGCGAAATTAACGCTAAGAATCGAGAAATAATTAATGAGCAGTTTGTTTATGTAAATTTGCAACCTTTTTCCTTTTTAAGCGTCTAATCTCATGGGAGGTTAACCAGTTTTCACATTTCATTTGCTACTTCTAAACTATGCTCCCGACTCCTTTGTTTAACAACTCTCCCAGGAACAACTGTCTCATTCCAAAACTGTTTCTTTGTTTTCTTCTTAAACTTTTGTTTGCTAATGAAAGTTTATATATTTACTGCAAAACAAAGATTTACATAGCGCTTTTGCGTCACTGAAGTTATGATGACCTCTACTTCGTCGTGACCGCTTAGAACGCTTTAATTTGAAACGGGTAAGTTTAAATCGTACGTCAAACTTTATAAGACAGACAGATAGATGACTTAATTATGATGAAATTTTTATCACCAAAAAACTCAGTGCCCTTTGCTGAGTGTTTTTTTCCACCCGGCAACTTCATGATCCGGTTGGTTTTACGTGAATTATATTCCCTCGTTGTCAAACATCCTCAAAGTTGTACTAAAAGTTTATAAGCCAAGTTTCATCTTCAAAGCTGTGTGAAATTCTGAACGCCTTTCTGATTATCGGCCGTTCTTGCAGTTTGCTTAAAGCTTCTTTCATCACCATTTTCTTGTTAAACTGGAACTAATTTCAAGATGTATGGAGCAAACTGTTAAGACGGAGTTGTTTGTCAGTCATTAGTGACTTTTGTTGATCCTCAGTTGATCCAGTCATTCTGACTGGAAAAGGACAAATCACCCAAAAATCATCTTTCCCGTAGTAACGTTGCCCGAATCTCGGAGTTACCCGAAGTTTACGCTTGGGCACGTGGCCGAGTTGTCTTGACAGTATATCCAGAGTACATCCGAAGATTTGGTTGTCGCTAATATAATGGAAGATGGTCCCTTTTCGGTGAATAAAATGATAGAAGTCAGGCTCTTGCGAGATGAAGTCCCGAAACATCTCCTACATGCAGGTTACGTCTGATTACTGTGTAGTTCCATGTTGTCACTAAGGTTAAGTTCACATTATACCGTATAATTAACTGTCCGTTCCAAGCCATCTGGTGAACGTAGTCTAACACCAAACGCAACACGAAGTGAAGGTCTCGCTATTATATATGTTGCTCTTTTAAAATTAATATATAAATACATTTAAGAGGCCATTGATCGGATACTGATGCTTTGCACGTTTGTCATTTTAGGGCCGACATTTCACCACCGGTCATCACGTACTGGGTAACCTGACTTCAACTTTAGATGTTAAATACGCGCAGATGACCTATGGAGACCACTACAGGAAGGTTAGTGCAGACTTCCAGGAAGGAAAAACTACAAACTACATCTTCGGCTAAAAGGTTCTTTGGGGAGATCTTTGAGGCTCTCAGCGACAATTCTGAAAATTAAGACCATGTTCACATCAAACCGAATAGTTTTTCGTGCTGACACGA